TGCTGGTAGCTCTACACCAAGCTCTTCCCAACAAGCAACCATGGACAACCCAAACAAACTCTAAAGAACAAAGTGACAGCTCCAAGGATCAGTCAGGATCAGAAGGAGAAACTCCTAGCAAGAAACTGAAGCCAGCATCTCAACAATCAGGCTCAACTCACTCCAGCAACACCAGCTCCAGCAGCAAACACTCCAATGATTCAACTCTACTTTGCCGCTGCCTCACACGCAACACACCAGCGAATCCAGCTCGAAAGCTGCTGCTCTGAGAGCACCTCGTCATCAGCGACAATGAAGACAACTCACACCAGCTTCCACACTCACCCCAGTGCCCAGATCCACTCGAATCAGCCCCAAAACTGACAACTTCTCGCCAACAACTCAACATCTCCAAAGAAAAACGCCAGCTGATAGCCCAGGGCTCGGTTTCTCCACCATCTAAGAACATCATTCTCAGCATCCCAGCCCCTCGACACGGTCCACGAAAAAAAAACATCAATTACCTTGGCCGATCACTCATAGAACACACAACCATGTGTCCTCCAGCAAATGCCGCGACCAGCACCAGCAAAAATTCCGCCCCTTCAACAAAATTTCAAGCGGAAGATTTGGGCCGTTCAACCGATACATTAATTTCAGCGCCACATCTGAGCCGTTCATCCAGCTTCAATCCGAAACACTCATCTCCAACCACCTCAAAGAATCTGGACCGACGCCACTTGCTTGAGGAGGCATGGTTGCGTGTTCTGTGAGTGATCGGCAAAGTTAGTTGATGTTTTCCTTCGTGGAGCGTGTCAAGGGGGTCGGGGCGGTGAGAATAACGTTCTCAGCTGGTGAAGAAACCGAGTTCTTGGTGAGCAGCTAACGTTTTCCTTTAGAGATGTTGAGTTGTTGGTGAGAAGTTGTCGGTTTTGGGGCTGATTCGAGTGGATCCAGGTGCTGGGGTGAGTGTGGAAGCTGGTGTGAGTTGTCTTCATTGTCGCTGATGATGAGGTGCTCTCAAAGCAGCAGCTTTCGAGCTGGATTCCCTGGTGTGTTGCATGTGAGGCGGCGGCAAAGTAGAGTTGAATCGTTGGAGTGTTTGTTGCTGGAGCTGGTGTTGCTGGAGTGAGCTGAGCCTGATTGTTGAGATGCTGGCTTCGGTTTCTTGCTCGGAGTTTCTCCTTCTGATCCTGACTGATCCTTGGAGCTGTCGCTTTGTTCTTCAGAATTTGTTTGGGTTGTCCCAAAGGGTTTGGGATTTGGATCAGAAATGTCTGTGGTGAGCTCGCTGATGGACATGTTGAGAACAACCGACACTGAGATATGATGCTATGAAACGCTGTGATATAGGGATATGTGGAGTCTGGGGATGATGAGTCGGCTCTAGAGCTGTTTAGCAGGATGGAGGCTAGCACAAAGGGACTTACATTGCCGTTTCAATGACATGCTTGAGCTTGGGAGCCGAAGAGGAAGCAACAGGTACGATGGAAAGCTTGTCTATATGGCTCGTCACCATCAGGCTTGCAAGTGTGGGTTTTGAGTGGGACAAATTTGTTGGTTGACATGTGCATGACATGTGGGAGCCTAAGCTAATGCTCGAGCAGTCTTTGAGAAGATCTTACATCCGGACATAGTGCTGTGGAACGCACTGATGCTGGATTACGTGCAAAACAGAGAGAGCGAGGAGGCTCTATGCCTGTGTTTTCACTTGCAAGGACCAGACCCAAGAAGCTTCGTCACTGCTTTCATGGTCTGCACAAGCTCACAAGCGACCAGTGCCGCAATGAAAGTCCAAGAGTTTGGCTGACATCCGCTGGACAGCATTATTTCAACGAGCTCTAGAGCGATCACTGCGTCACCGTTCGCTGCATATCCCAGGATAAGTGCCGCCCAGAGTACACCTCATTCTATTGAAAACCAGCTCAGACTTGCACACTCGGCATACATCCCTATCAGACTGGGAGTGAACAGCCATCCCTTGCTCAAGCTGTCTTAGCTTCACAAACTCTTCTCTCACTTCCTGGCCTTCTTCCTTCTCTGCCAATGCTAGAAGCTGGCAAAGAGCTCCATGCAAAGATTTGCAGGCATGGACTGGAAGGCAGGACTTACGTAGCGAGCTCTCTGTGGGTCTTTACAGCAAGTGCGCTTGCCTTGACGATCCTGCGAGTCACTGGCAAGGAGGAAGCTCGTGGTGACTTGGAGCTCGCTCATGGCGAAAGACACGGGGAGTTGTTTGAAAGGATGCTCGACGAAGGCCTGCCAGGTGATCGTAGCGGAGCCTCATGCTAATCCAGCTCTTGATGTTTTTGTAGTGAGCCTTCACTTCCATACCGGGGTAACCCAAGACGTCTTTTCCCACGTTGAGTGTTCTCAAGGTTTAGGCCAGTGAGAGAGCAGAAACGATCCAGTGCATTCAGTAGGCGTTGTAGCTGTGCATTATCAGGACCAGGAATCCCGAGTTGGCTGCTTGTAAGAGGCACTGTGGCCGAGACATTACTCTCTTGGATTCAATAGCGTGGCCGCTGTGCAGGTTGATCGTCTCCCTGTGGCTCCAACTGTGTAGCCAATGGGGTGGCAATTGGAGCTTCCAAGCTCTCTAAGAAAGGTCCAAGATGGACATTTGTGATCTACATTACATATTCTTGTTGCAGGTGGTTATGTAGTTTCTTCAAGAGCAAAACCTGGAGGAGAGAGTGAAAGTCAGTAGGATGAAGATCTTGAGAGGTCTGATTGACCGATGACTCTCTCCTCGTGGCAAGAAAACCTGCCACAGTATGTAGTTGGCACGTGATTGGATCTCTGGCTGGCAGCCCACCCCAGACTCTAATCTCGATCAGAGCCCTCTTTGTACAATGGTAGTCACCATTGATAAACGCTCTGTAGAGAGAGCTTGCTATGGATGATGAACACACCAAATAAAAAGAGAGCCCTCAGACTAAGGCCATGCTTTTTCCACACACAACCGAGCGCTCTCTTTCTCGACAAATCCATTCGCAGCAAAGAGACGAGCCCCACAAAGGAAACGACCCAACACGTTCTCGAGCTGGAAATCCTCAGGGAGATCAATGCCAAGCTGGATCAAGGATTCTCTCCCGGGACTGCATCATGCTGGATCAATCGATTGCCGGGAACAATCCGAGAGGCTGCCACTGTCCACAATATGGCGAAGGACTGAAGAGAGGGACCATTGCCGCTCTCAGAGAAGTGGCTGCTTACCTTTTGGATCACCCCGGAGCTCTGGCGGGAACAACCGGCCATTGACCCTGGCGACTGACAACAAGACTGGGATCCTCTGACTTGTGATCCCTTAGCCCATAAATACCTCACACAGCCAGCTCGGAGCAAGAGCTGTTGCAATTCTTCTGGCCGGGAGTCGAGCCACTGGAGGCAGCCGTGATCCAGTCGACCCAAGCTGCAACCTTTGAAGGAAATCTAAATACGTCTCACTTCTACAAAGCCAAAGGTACTCAGCAAGAAGAGAAACGTGAATCCCACGCTGTCCGGCGACGACTCTTGTCAGTGTTGGCGAGTCGGATATAACGACCTCGTCTACCGTTCGTTCTTCCCGAGAGCGTTTGTCCCTCGCGGTCAAAGCCCGGTAATCCATGTCAGTCGCCATCAGACATCTGAACTGTTCCCGCTCCAAGGTCCTTGTTCTAATGCGGTTTCTTCAACGCCGAGAAGAAAGGCGCGTTCCAAATGCAACGTCTTCGGGGAAGACACCCGAAACCTCACAGTGCTTTGTTCTGCCATTTCCAAGAGAGATCTTGGCTCCCTTCGCTCACCGCCATCTCCAAACAATCAAGCTCAGAGCGTCGAAGTCCTTGCCATTTGCCATGCAACTCGCTGTTCTCGATAAGAGGAGAAACACTGGAAGAACCCCCAGATCTTCGCCCAAGAACGCCTGGCCTGCCTCGCCATGGCCAGGACGCCCAAATCGTCGCCATTCTGTGCCATCTCTCGCCAGATGCCGGGCCCAGGAGCCCGCGTCATAATGTCTTGCTTCGCCATGCTCGCCAGTCTCGCCGTCCTCGACATGCTGAGAAGGGGAGAAACACTGTGGAAGAACGCCCGCGTCATAAATCCTCGCCATGGAACACCCAAATCCTCCATGCATCTCGCCATTCTCGACAGGCTAGAAGAGAAGAGAGGAGAAACACTGTGAAGAACACCCGCGCAGCTCGCATTTCATTTTAGAGCGCCCAAATCCTCGGGACAAAAACGTACCTGAGAGGCCAACGCCCCACAATATTCTGATGCTGATGCTTTTTTTTTTGTTCAATCATCCGTACGGAAAACATGGAAATTTCGCTGACTAATGGGCATTTGGTCTAGTGGTATGATTCTCGCTTAGGGTGCGAGAGGTCCCGAGTTCAATTCTCGGAATGCCCCATTCCTTAACGAGAATTGGTAGATCGAGCAGCGCAGTTCTAGGAGGCTGCAAGCATATGTTCAAGGAAAATGCCAAACTGTTTATGTTTGTCACCTGACATCATCATCCAGAATAAAATTCCTCGTGACACATAAAGTTTTAGAATGGAACGTTCTCTCTATAGCCAGATGCCGCGTTTGATTTCTCCAAACCGGCCCATCTTTTCTGAAGCAGAGAAGCTACTGCCTACACAAAAACACTAATAGGCAGGGATGTATTCCAACAAAATACGAAATTCCAAAGGAAGAATATGGTTTCTCCCTATTTGGCGGCACAGTCCAGAAGGCCGCAACAAGAGAAAAAATAAAGCACATTCATACGCTCTCGTGCACGACCAAAGTCAACAGTCACTATTGACTGAGCAGGCCCTTCCACTTTCTCCAGGACGTGGAAACGAGTGAGCGATTGCGTTTACACGGGCTTGGGGAAGTTCCTGTATGTTGCAATCGAGGCCTTTTCTTGGGCACGAAAGAAACTTGGCCGACGAAACATGGAGCGTAGGGCCAAATTCCTATTGGCATTTCCTAGATCTAGTCCAGAACAGCGGCAGTTTATTCGAGACTTTGTATCCATCTGCTGAGTAGCTTCCCACGTCGCCTTTATATTTTTAAGGACCGTTCTGGGGACCCAGGGAAGCAAATCACTCGAGGAGGAAGCAGCTACTCTATATTTTTCTTTCTTTCTTGCGTCTCAAACGAAACCAGGTGTAGATTTGAGACGAGGAGAGATGGAGAGAACCAATCTCATACTATTGCTGTTCGTTTTTGCACAAGCCATGATCATCGCACAAGCAGGTATATAGTTTTCAAGCGAAATCAATCGATCATATCTTGTTTTCTTTTCTTAGCCGAGGAGTATGACTACTCGAATGGGACTCGAGGCCAGGCAAACTGGGGAAACTTGAGACAAGAATGGAGGGCTTGCAGCAGCGGCAGAATGCAATCTCCGGTGGACATTCAATCCGAGGAGCTCCAACCAGTGTGCTCTTTGAAGCTGCTCCAGACGAGATACAAACCAACGAATGCCACTCTCACCAATCTCGACCACGACATAGCAGTATGTATCTCCTGAATCCATCTCATCTCCGAAAGATCTCCATCTAATCATGGCTCGGGCCCCTCGTTTTTCTTCTCTGTTTGTGCAATAGCTCGAGTTTGGCGATTCTTCATCGGGATCGCTCATCATCGATGGCACCTTGTACAGGGTGAGCGAGTATCATATCCATGCTCCCAGCGAGCACACTGTGAATGGGAAGCATCTCGCAGTCGAGGGGCATCTCGTCCACAGGAGTGAAGACAACAGGCTTGCAGTCGTCGCCGTCATGTACACGATTGGATCCGAGGACGACCCTTTTATCGATCAGGTAAACAGAGATCTGGGTTTTCTTCGTGATTTCTGAGAGGTTTTTTCAAGGTTGAGCATTTTCTACCTGAGCTGAGTGGCGAGCAAGATGTTCAAGTGGTGGATCCCTCGCTGCTTAATGTTGGAGGCAAGCGATTCTTCAGATATGTTGGATCACTGACATCACCGCCCTGCACCGAGCAAGTGACATGGAGCGTGTTGAGAAGAGTAAACAAATTATTTCCTTAATCTTTTGTTTTTTTTCCGCTGACCATGGTTCTTATGTTGCAGCCACGAACGATCTCGAAAGCCCAGTACCGGCTTTTGATGAATGCCCTCGATGTAAGAACTAATTCACGCGCCAATAAACAGCTTCTAACATTCTGTGTACAGGGTGATAACAACAGATCGATACATGGCTTGTTTGGAAGAAGAATAAGCTATTATAAATAGAAGATTCGTTTTAGTCCTATTAGGGCACGCGGTTTTTAACCTAGCAATAGCACTATGTGGAAGTCTATATTTCTCTTGCTTGTGGTGCTTCTCCTAGTAGATGCAGACCAGCTCAAAATACATCCAGATTACCATCTCAAAGTGTTCCAGATTCCAGAACCCGAGAATATTACGCTCTATGTGGAATTGCTCGATACGCTTCCTGGCCCAGTGCGTCCTGTCTACTTGTATCCCGTCCATTCCTTCTATGCTTTGATGACGGAAAAACAAGCAAGCATCTTGAGGAGTAAGTCTTAAAGTTGTTTTTTGTTTCTTTCTAATTCCTTATCGTTTTTTGAAGCGAGGGCAAACGTTTCTGTGATTCTTAGAAGTGAATATGCTGTGCTGCTCTAAATTTTTTCAAGATTAACTAGGATTCAACCGAAATCAGCAAAAGCCAACTACAAATCTTTTGAGTTGTAGGACGTCTTATGTCCCAGCTGGACGTCCTCATTTATTTGATTATCTCATAGGTTAACAATAAATTTATCTTCCTATAATTCTCTTTCTCTTCTGAAGCCAGAGGAAACGTTTCAGTAATTCTTGTAGCTGTGTTGAAACATGTTTTTAGATGGTTTCCTTTAAAATTGATCAAGCCGTCAATTGATTATTCATTGAACTGCTTGTCCGGCCCTACAATGGAAGTTACCACCACCCAGAATGATCGACTTCCAAGTTCATGGGGTTAGGTGCGAGGGGAGCTTGGCTCAGAAGGACTGCTGCTGCTGCTGCTGCTGCTGTTGTGTGGCGACACTTCCGAGAGGTTGAGGACGCCTTCCATTCTTCCCGAGGGGCGCCGGATCTCATAACGCCATGTCCTGGATCTCCGACGGGGTCTCGCGGTTGAATCGCGCCTCGTGTGGGAGTTCCTTGAACGGGACCTCCACGGTGCCGATGGATTTGTCGTGGATGTGGCCGCGGGGAAGATCTCGATGGTGAATTTGCCCGAGTCCTGCTCCAGCGAGTAAGTGTCAGCGCTGAGGACAAGCTTCTGGTTCCAGACGACCTTCTTGGAGGGATGGACACGAATATGTCAGCGTTTAATCCGCTCCTCACAGCTCGAGCGCAGGCTGAGAGCTTGACAAGCTTTCCTCAAGCACTTTGATCGCTGCCAGATAAGTATCACTCAATTCGGAGCAAGGCCCTCGACGTCCTTGGGAGAGACCACTTCACAGTCTCCATTCTCCGCATAATGGTGGAATTGCTTGCTTATGTTGCACTTACAGGTGTAGTCTGGCACCAGTCTGTTGTGGATCTCCGCCTACATTCATCTGGCAACTAGCTAGATAGCGCCCGGAGGCTTCAAATCTCCAGGTCAGAGAAACATCCAGGGAAATAGGCCGGCTGCATTTAATATAGTTTGCGATTTGCGATCAAGGACAAAAAGGAGTTCACAGATGAAAACATTACGAGTGGCGAGTTGACAGAGAAAGAAAGTCTCTTTCTTAGAGCCAAATATCTATGGCTACCGATGGGAAGCTCTACTTCGCAGCGAGAACATGACTTTCACATACTCCAGTATAAACTATCTTCGTAAGTTACTGAATCCTCGGAAGTTCTTCTGGTACATGCGGCACTTTTTGTCTTGAATGCATGACGTTGAGCTTCTGAGGGATCCAACAGGTTCGTACCAAATTTGACCGGCCTTATTATGGAGGATGAAACGTCTGGAAAAGGGAGTCATCTTTGATGATTTGGCAATGCAAATCTGAGATGTCTTCGTCCCCGGCAGGGCTAGCCGATCAGAAAGTAGGTTTAAACTTTTTAGATTGACCGGACAACATATATGTCCGGGGGGGGCCAAGAGCTTCGCTGGACTACTCTTCTCATGACGGGGAAAATCAAAATTCGATAGGTCAACAATTACCAGGCCGGATCTGCAGACCTAAGGAGAGTTCTTGAAGAGGATGGCCTTAGCAGGTTATCTGGAACAAAGCTGAAGTAAAATTTTTATTCATTAAGTTTTGACAACGAAGGGGATGCGAACATTATACCCAGGATGTGCATAACACTTCCACAGAAGTGACCCAAATATCCTCTGGTCGGTGTCATGAAGAGAGAAAGTGATGGATGTAGTCACTATCCTCTGCCCTTCCTCTAGGTCGAAAGACATATAGCGTAGTGCGTCCACGTTAAGCTCAGGAGGAATGTCATGTTTTAAGAAGTGATATAACAGGTAATCCTTGGGTAAAGGTGGAAAACTAACCAGCGTGAATGTCCGATTAACCACAACTTTCTGCACAACTCCTGATAAATCCACAACGATGGATGGATAGTTGCAATCATCAATGCAATTTTCGTAGTTTCCAGTGTAATCCAATACTAAACCTGGTTCTATTGCCTGTCTTGGGTTGATAAAACCAGATCCAATAGCATAATGCGTTGCCACATCTCCATTATAATCTTTAATAGGTTTTCCCGTGTTGTCTAATGGAGAAGCTGTGGTCATGATTGCAGATTTAATCATTGCTGGGGACCAAGTTGGATGTAAGGTTTTTAACATAGCTACAATAGCAGCAACTTGAGGTGTAGACATTGATGTGCCACTTGAAAACTCAAAAGCTCTCTTTGTGTTATCCTTTGGAAGCCAAGAAGCTAGTATATCCACACCTGGTGCAATAACATCGGGTTTGATGATTGACTCCTCAGGCAAACCTCTTGATGAGAATGCCGCAACTCGGGAAGCTGGAGTAAGTTCTGTAATAGTTTTTATCTTTGAGATTTTGGCACGGGGTGATCTGCAAAGCACAAAAATGTTTATATCCATGTATCAAACATAATCAAAAGTAGCTTACCGTGCTGTTTTAAGGAAGCCATTTAAAACGTCAATTTCGATAAGACTTACATAGAATACAGGTTTGAGGCTTCCAAAGTCTTGCCGTATAACGAAGGGGGTGTGTACTAAGATGACCGCTGCAGCTTCTCCTTCATTAAGTGCTGAATAAATAGTGTTGCCTTCATGGCAAATAACGATCTTCCCTTGCATGTTCTCATGGCTTTCACCGCAAAACCTGGACAGCGCTCTTTAGGCAAAATGAACATTGTGGGAGATTGTAATACCTTCCCCAAGTATGAGTCGTTGAGTTGTATGTTAGGTTGAATGTATCGAACCTTAGAAAGGAATCCTCCGGCCAGATAGCTCCGTCACTAAGTGATGTGACTTCAATCATACTGGAAAAGTGCTGCTCATCATCCCATAATTCCATCTCAACTACAAAATCCCTATCCAATGTGCAAGCTCCAACAGTCAATAGCCATGGACTGGCATTTGACAAATATCCATCTGGTCCCCTGTTTCCAGCTGCTGCAATGACTGGTATTCCCCTCTGAAAAGCTAGTAAACCACCTCTACTACCAGCGTCGTCCTTTAAGCTAGAGCCTAAAGACATAGATATAACATCTACACCATCACCTATGGCAGCCACAAACGCATCTAATATATCAGCATAATTGCATCGACCCCAACATACTTTGTAGATTGCTAGTCTGGAAAGTGGAGCTCCTCCCACAGCCATTCCAGATGCTAATCCTGTCTTGTGGACCTGCCTTCCTCCTACTGTGGATGCACAGTGCGTTCCATGGCCATCTGTGTCGATAGGAGAGAGAATAACGTCGCTTGCCGCCAAAGAGTAATTGACATCCAAGTATGTTTGGACTCGCCTTGCGTTTCTAAGGAAGAACCTAGCTCCGATAACTTTCCTGCAGAGAGAAAGATAAACAAATGGAAGACAAGCAAAGAGAAAGCACAATATACACACCGATTGCATGTATAGCTTTTGAAATATTGTCCCGCCTCGCAAATGCCTCTCCACCTCCTGGGGGCTCGAGACATGTCTTTGTCTTGAAAGAACCCCGGGGAGTAGCCTGGAAAGATTAAAAGCTTTTTTAACTTCAAAACCAAAGAGAATGGATCAATGTACACAAACCTGTATCTAGAACTCCAATGATTGAGTCACTGCCATACCCAGTCTTGGCCCACAGAGACGTGTCTCCAGGGTTGAAGAGATAATTTGGATCATAGTCTGCTGACCTCCATATGGAGTCGGACAGGTTTTTCTCTGCCATCAAGTCACTACCCCATTGACCAGAAACGCCATCGATTCCACCCATGAACGTCCACGTCCGCGTTGTTTCAAGGTCCGAGTCAAGCGCTGAATGCACTGAAACATTCGCTCTTCCTGCCAAAGTAGAGCAAAAAAGTTACATATAAAAACTGGAAACAAAGGCTATGGAACTTACTTCGGAGAAAGTTGGCCTGCTTGTCTGTCATCAAAGCGTAGAAGGAACCTTGGCTATAGCTCTTGATGTGCACAGCCTGCCTTTGCCCAGGAAGTCCATTGAGCAACTTGAGATGCGCAAGTTGGTCGAGGGATGCAAGCTCCTGGAGTGATTCGAAGTGGTCCTGCCCCGGGAGCGAGACTAAGAACGGCTTGAGCTGGTCCTCCATTCGCGCATCTGCCAGGAGCACCAGGAGCACAAAGAAGAAACGAAACATCCTTCCGAGTGAGCTCTAGAATGTCCACTACTCGTTTAAGTAGTAAGGGAGTCATGAAAGTGAGGCGAGATTGACAGCCACACCCTTTCAATGTAGAAAGAGCCCGAAACTGTGTCATTTAGTTTAGAAAGATGTTTACACGAGCACACAGATATCGCTGGAACTGCAAGCAAAACAAAGAACTTATGAAAAAACGAAAGGAAAAGAAAAACCCCACTTGATTCCCTTTATGTGTGGCTTTAGCTTATAATCTGCAAGTATACGGAGGAAATAAAAACAGCATCATATATTCCAAATGACGATACAATTCAATACCTTGCGCGCTTTGCGTTTTACACGAAGCGACACGGCAGCACTGTTTTGCTGTATAGCTAAGTTTCGTGAGTGAAAAAACAAACTAAACGAGAGCTCAATTGCACCTACCTTTGCCGCCGCTGCTGCTGTAAGGAACAACGTTGCATTCCTCGCTGCACAGCCCCGGAGAGGAAGCCCGCCCGCATGCTTTTCTCACAGATCGACACAAAAAACATGTCAAAGGTGTTCCGATCCGTGATGCGAGGCGAGGCGCGGCGAGGGCTCCCCTGTGCTGCAAGTTCATCAGTAACTTACAACAAGAGTTGTCGAGTTACCCGATTCCACCAACAATACTCCCTTTCGGAGGTAGGACTCGAGCTCTGTGGATGGCTTCTACCCCGCAACTGGACACGGCTTTACAACCTGCCACGCACCATTTACACACCTGAGTCTCAGCTTCCTGTATGACCTCGTTGCTTCTTCAATCTTCTTCCTCTTTCTTTCCTGCTGCTGCCGCTGCTGCTGCTGCTGTTGCTGTTGCTGCTGCTGCTGGGCACTACCACCTCGATCTGATACCCACTTGCCGTTGAGCCGCTTGAGCTTCACAATCCTCGTCCTGGGAACAAAGCCACCTTCCTCCGTGTGCTTGAGCACCCAAGGATGCGTTTGAATCTGCTGCGTCGTCAAGCGCTTCTTTGGATCCAGGCACAGCATCCCCAGAATCAGCTCTTTGGCCTCCAGCCCGACGCCGGACCAGTCGAGCATATCAGCCGGCATGTCGACCCATCTCAGCCTCTCGAGCACGAACTCCGAGTCGAGCCCCGCAAAGGCCGTCAACCCGGACAGCGCCTCGTAGAGGATGAGCCCCAGTCCCCATATATCCACCGCCTGGTCGAATCTACTGTCCCTCACCACCTCGGGGGCCAAGTACTTGGTTGTTCCAACGATGTGATCCAGCTTACCACCGGTGGACGCCACCGAGAGCCCAAAGTCGGCAACCTTGACGTCGTATGGAAAGGAGTCCCTAGAGAGGAGGATGTTTGGAGGCTTGAGATCCCTGTGGATAATCCCCAGAGCGTGCAATCCCTGCACAACCTTAGCCAAGCCTTTTATGAGAAGCGCAGCCTCCCTCTCACAAAGCCCTCGCTCTCTCTGGATCCTATCATGCAAACTGCACGCACACAACTCAAGCACAAGATGCCACACGCGATTATCATCTACAATTACCTCCACGAGGCTCACGGCACCACCACCTCCTCCTCCACCTGGAATCCCCTTTCCTCCACCACCGCCGCCTCGAAATCTCACGCCGCCGTTGCCTTGGATCAGCTTCATGATCGACACCTCCTGCCGCACCAGATCGAGCTCGCGGGATTCCTCCACCCTCACGCTCTTGCACGCAAACAGCCGCCCATCGCTCAGCCGCCTCACCTGGAAAACCCTGCCCTGGCCGCCATCGCCAATCTGGTACTCGATCGCGTACTTACGCGACAGATTGGGGAAGGCCATGTCGTCGATCGACGAGAGCGACGAGGATTCCGTGCGATCGCCGTCGCCTCCGCCGCGGTCGCGCTCCGCAGCGCTCCTTTTTCTCACCGCCATAGCCAAAACGACGCGTAACAAATCAAGAAAACCCTGATAGGAAGGCATCTTTTTGAACTGGATGACCAAAAGGGATGCCGGAATATTCTACCGTGACGGTTGCGCCGGGAATATGCCGGCTAACAATAACGTCTCGTGATTTTCAAACCAACGACGGGTAGTTTGTTCTTTTGATCATACAAAGATACTCGCAAAGATGAGAAAAATCACAATGTTTGCTATGATCAAACACCTGGAAGCCATCGATCCTCGCAACAAAGAGTACTCACAAATCTCGATCAAAATCTGGCCAAGGCAACATCAAACTCTGACACAACACCTGGAAGCCATCTCTCATCGCAAAAAGCGTAGAATTCCTAGATCAAAATCTGGTTTTGGCAGTGAAAACCGATCACCTTAAAAACCTTGAGCGATCACGATGTTGTCTTCTACAAAGTCACGACTGTCGTGAAGAGAGAGCCATCGTCTCTCACAGCCTGCAAGTGTTCTTCTTTACCCTGGTACGCATTCCACCGCTCTTCGATCCCGTCCATATGTGCCAGTCCCACCACAGCGACGATTTTCCCGTCGCAGCACAGCAATCTCTTGGTCATGATCTCGTCTCGCTGATCGACTACCGCATCAACCTGATGGGCTTGTCCACGGTCAGCATCGCTAGAGAAAGCAATCGTGTGAAAGGAATCACGTACCACTTCCGGGAACTCCAGGCGAAGGTCACGAATCAAGCTCGAAGCAATCTCTCTCGTGTTCATGGACTCGAGAAAACTCAAGTTTCGGTTTTGTATGGCGTGGAGCATCACCTGGCACTCTTTCATTGTCCAGAGCTTTCTTATGAGCCTGAAAGCAACAGGCATGGTGAGTGCTCGATTCAGTCTCTCCTTGGTGACCTTCATTTTGGTCTATGTAAGAAAACGAGCTCAAAAAGACGGATTTTTACCTTGCTGTTCTCATCGATGAGATGAATTTCAGCACCGAGTTTCATAGCTTCAGTGCCTGCTACCTGAAAGGATTAAAAAAAAAAAGAACCATGAGAACAGTGAAAAGTTCTACCTTAAGAATGCATACCACGAACTCTGATGCTGTTGCTATCCCGGCGTCCCTCACACCTTGATAGTAGAAGTGAAGCACGACGTGCAGTAGCCTCTCTCCAAAAGTTCCAGGACAGTCGAGAAACTCTCGAATCACTCCACGCCTCGGCCCATCATCTCCTCCATCTGGTTCCAACAAGCAATCCATTCGAGAAGGACATAACTCCACCTGTGTCGCAGCAACAATGTAGCCTAGCTCGATCGTGAATCACGTACTCACCGCGACGACATTGGGCCTCACCGATCGAATAAGCTAGGGATTTGGAGCAAAATCCCGTGTCAATCGCGTAGCATAGAAATCGCGGAGATTACCTGTTGGACTTTATCAGCGCTGCGCTGCGAGATGTGCATCGTGCCTATCAGATGGACCTCCGCGCCATTGGCCGCATTGTAGAGGCGAGCGACGTTGTCGGCGGCAGCGAAGCTCTCCCGAGAGAATCGGAGCCCTCTCTTCAAGAGCGCCAAGCTCCTCATTTGCAAAATCGATAAACCCTAAGAAGCTAATGCTTTAAAGTGGGCATCTATTCCGAATGTTCTTGTCTCATTGCTGGAAAAACCTTCCTTCTAGAGATATGGAATTGGCGACTGCTGTTCTTGAGGCGGCGGTGGCATTGGGATCGTCTTCCTCTCCTTGATCGCTTCCAGGACTTTGTTTGCCTCGTCGATGAACGCATCATACCCCTCGATGTTCCTTATCACGATGTCAATCTGATGGAGAAGAGAAGATCAGTGTCGCAAGGGTGCCAAAGTTTGAGCAAGTTCTTACTTGTGTGAAACCCTGGCAGCCGTTTTTCAATGCCTTCAACGCTACTTCAGCTCCCTCCGAGTAAGGATACCTGCGTAGCTCCACATTCGCAAAGAGAAACGAATTAAAAGAGTGATTTTTACCCGTAGATTCGGCACGAGAGGGGAGGGAACACGATGTGCTTGATGCCTTCCGTCGCAGCAAGAGCCAACGCCGAGCTGAAACATCAAACGATGCGAGTGAGGTGGAACTCTCCGGCTCAAACCAAATAGAAACTTACGCGTAAGTTTTCTCTAAGTCGGCATCCGACTCCCTCCCTTCATAGACAGGACCTACGGCATGGATGACTCGCGAAACAGGAAGATTGAAAGCTCTGCACAAGAAACACGAAAGAGAACAATGAGAAAAAAATATAACTTGCGGCAAATGAAATACTTTGTGCTGACTGCTTGCCCAACTTCACACTTAACGCCATGAGGAGCGACGTCTGGAAGCCTTTGGCAGGCAGACAAGAGCCTCGGCCCAGCAACCTTGTGAATAACTAGAAAAGAAAAGAGAGCAAAGCAGTCAGCTTGAATCCAACATGTTTTCCAAGCAAAGCAGCATACCTCCATCAACAGCAGCTCCAGCATTCACTTTCTTGTTCGCAGGAGCCACCTGAGAATGCAAAAGAGAAAACCAAAATCATCCACCAAAAGAAGAGGAGGCAACACTTACAATGGCATCAGTAGCACCGTCGACTCGCCACTTGGTAATGTCTCCAAAGTAGATCGTCATGGAGCACGTATCCGAGAGCTTGAACTGTTCTCGCTGCATGAGCTCCGTCGGTGGCGGCGGAGGATTCAGCCACTCGATCACCCTCGAGTTCGTCGGCCTCTCGGGGTGGTATGGTCGCGGTGGTGGCTCCGGCTTCGCATAGGGGGACCTGTAAGTCGATTTGATCGGCTTTCCATCTTTATCCGTAGGCTCGGGAAGATCGAGTTCGGGAATTCCCAGAGCCGAGAGACCTTTGTTCTCAGGAACTGGAGGTGGCGGCTCGGCGTTCGTAGACTTTGGTGGCAGCTTGTCTGGATTGAGAGTCCTCGGTGGTGGCGGCGGTGGTTTAACCGGCGGCGGCGGACCATAGTAAGGCACTGGAGGTGGCGGCGGCGTGTAGTACTCCTCCACTGGAAGCTTGTACTCGTTTGGCTGGCCTTGTCTTGGAATTCTAGGAGGAAATGGGTCAGAAGGATAGACGGAACGAATCACTATCCTTGACGAAGATGGCCTGGTGTGTAGAGGCGGGGACGAAATTCCATGCTTGCTGCTGGCTTCGCCATGGAAGCTGGAAGAGAATGCCGGTAGAGGAGCAGCGAGCCGGATTGCTCCGACCTGTATGGCTTGCGCCATTCCTGGAAGAAAGAGATGTCAAATCCCAGCAAACGAGAGAAGAGAGTCACAGAACTAGGGAAAGCAAGAGAAATGCGAGCGATAGCGCGGATTCTACACAAAGAACACGATGAATCCCACACAAGAGCTACTGGCGAAGCTAGAAACCACGCATTGTCACACAGAACTAGGGAAAGCAAGAGAAGTACGAGCGATACCACGGATTCTAAATAAACAACGCGATGAAATTCCACGAAAGAGCTACTGGCGATGCTAGAAACCATAATCGCGAGCCATACCTCAAGAACGCGCTCGCTTGCTCGCACCCTGGCGCCAGGGAAGAGCCCTTCCAGGGTTTAAACACCTAGCCGGGAGATCGCGCGCATCGCGACCGTCTAGAGATTATGCCCGTAAGATATTTTCCAGAGGGATAAGAGATGAGCGGCCACGATTAGAGAACCGCTGATAAACCCTAGAGGAGGCGCTGAGGCGCAGGTAAAGCTTTCATCGATTCTTCGTTCGATCAGCGATTTCTAGCTCGAAATTTCTAGGTCTTATCGATCGATCGACCAGGTGGTAGCGCCAATGCAGGGGATTAGCAAGCTCAGGGTCGCGCCGCTGTCCGGTCTCCGGCTCGGGAGCTCTGGTTTCCTTGGAAGCGCGCGCGCATTCCAGACGAGCTCCACGGCCTTGTTTCGGCACGATGCGAGCCCCGGATTTGGAGCTGGGGTCGTCCGGGCGGCAATGCGGCCGGATGGATTGCCTCACAAGCGCCCACACTTTGATAACTGGCAGAGGTCTCCTCCGGTGAGCACTGAGCCCCCAAAGCCGCCAGAGCCTCTCACGGGTGGAGTCAAGTACAAGCTTAGCGACCATTGCACGCTCGTTATGTGGAAGGGAGATATAGTCATCTGGCACGTCGATGGACAAACTGATGCTATTGTAAGTTCTCTCCAATTTTTTTCCTCTTCGTTTCGAATTTTTTTTTTTTTTTTCTAGCTTTATGATTGTTCTTTATTTTCCTAGTTCTTGGTTTTTCGTTTGATCCTTAGTTCGTTCTTTGCTATTCGTTTCGTTCTTTTCTCTAGCTTTGGGTCTGATGGTTTTTCTTCTTTTTTTCTGGTTTTTGGTTTTGGTTTCGATCTTTCGTCTATGCTCGAGTGGTTAATTTTGTTCGTTTTTTCCTGGTTATGGTTTTTCCTTTTGATCCTATTCTCCTTTCGCGTGGTTTTTCGCATTGTTTTTGTTCTTCTCTGGTTCTTACATGAAATGGAACTTACGAATTGTGTGCTTAGGTTGCTCCAGCAAACAAGAAAGTGAATGCTGGCCTGGGGATCAATGGAGGTGAGAGAAACCATACACTCTTTTTTCGCGATCTAAAAACTCGGTTTTGATTTTCGTCCCTGTGTTGCAGCAATTCATAGAGCTGCTGGCCCGAGGCTCGCTGATGCCGGTGCAAAGCTGCCGGATATGGCACCTCAAGGAGTGAAATGCGTTATCGGGGCAGCGGTCGTCACTAGGTATCGTAGAAACCCGAGCTCTCAACGCTGACTTCCACTTCCCAGGGCTTTCAACCTCAAGGTTTCTCGAGTCATCCACGCTGTGGCTCCAGTCTATCAGGAGAGAGACGATGCTTCACCCCGGGATCTCAACAGCGCATACAGGTGGGACACATTTTCTAGTTTTCCAGCCTTGTAAGTAACACTTTTCTGGTGAAAACAAACAGGAGTGCTTTGGAGCTCGCCAACCGCGAAGGCGTGAAATACATTTGCTTTGCTGCGATGTCTTGCGGCCTCTACGGGTATGACTCACTTCCAAAC